GTAAGGATGAGGTTCGGATGCAGCTGGACAGCGCCCTGCAGGACGTGAACACTCGCTACGCTGAATTAGAAGAGACCGAGAAGAGGGCCGTGTGCCGAGCGCTCGTCGAGGAAAGAGGACGCTTCTGCTCCTTCGTTACGATGCTCAAGCCTGTTCTGGTGGGTTTACGTACAAATGCTCACAATAGGGCTGTACAACCAATCATGTTTTTATCGTCACTGCAGTACGACTTTCAGGGATAAACACATCATAAGAGCAGCAATGACAGATCAAATTACCTCACACAGCGCAAGAGAGACGTCATTACGCTACAGCGCAAACTGTTAGAGGCCTAATGAGAGCTTCTCTGCGCTGGGATTGAGCTCACGTTGGCAAGTGACTTAACCATTTGGCTAAACAGCCAATAGGCTGTTTGCAGTCACTTGATTCTGACAAACCAGATGGAGGGCAGGATGGATGAGATGGAGGCAAGTCTGTACTGCGCTAGTTTAGATGATATTACAAGAGAAATTAATATAAACATAAATAAACAAAAATCACAGCATATGTTGGACGTGATTTTCCGTTTATACCTTTCTCTCTTAGTATTGTCTAAACAGTAAATTACACCATGTCGCTGCTGTCGGAACCATAACTCGTATCTCCAAAATGGTAACTTTACAGGAGAAAGAAAAAACAGATTTTACTTTAAATCTAAGTCAATGGAACCAGACTTTTTTATTTATTATTATTATTTTTTTACAAGTAGCTTTGGAACATTTCTTTTAGTCCCTACATCATGAAAATTACACACAATGTTAACGGCAACAGGCATGTTCAAATTATTTTAAAAAACTATAAAATGACAAAAAGGAAGATACAAGGTTTTGTTCCGACAGCAGCGATCTGTTGGATGTGACGCTTTAAAGTGGAGTGATTTTCAGCTGAACTGAAAGACTCGCCTGCTATCGAGGGCAGATATGAGCAGCTGCCTCGTCCTCCAGACGTCCTTCTACTCAAGAACACAATGAAACCACACAAAAGTGTGGAGGCACAACTTTACAAGGCTAAGGTTGGCTTCCTTTTCACATTTTCCCATTCCACCTTAAATGGCGCAGCAGTTGTTATTATTATTATTATAATTATGCCTGACGGCAGTCTGTCACTGGTGCACCATGTAAGGTGGGACGGGAAAATCTGAACAAGAAGCCGGCGTGGCAGAGGGAATTATTCACGCTCGCCGTTATTTTAATGTAGCTGTTAGCTGTGTAGCAGTAATTAGAAACCCCTCTGAGCTGGACCAAGCTTGGCGTTGTACGTGAAAAATTGTCCCAATCCTGGCACGAAACGTGGTATTATGTCGGGTCCCATTGGGCTCAGGTTGGGGGAGAACCTCTAGAACACACATTCAGTAATATTGAGCTTTGTTGTTGAAATGTGTTTTAGGGGTTCCTCAAGGGTCTGTTTTAGGCCTATTGCGTTAGTCTGTTCTGTTAATGTAATACTGTAATTATGTTGATTTATTGTCTCTGTTCCTGAAATGTTATTGTGTTCATTACATTTCTAATGCCTCGTTGTTCGTCGCTGTTCTGTGTTTTCTGTAGGATGAGGAGATCAGTATGCTCGGTGAGGTGACGCACCTGCAGTCCATTCTGGAGGACCTTTGCAGTCTGACAGCCGATCCCAACACTTTACCACCTGCTAGTGAACAAGTAATAAACTCTGTCACCTAAAAACACCTACAGACTGCAGACCAACCACAGACACACTGTAACAGTCTCTCTCTCTCTCTCTCTCTCTCTCTCTCTCTCTCTCTCTCTCTCTCTCTCTCTCTCTCTCTCTCTCTCCATCCATCCTCATTCTCTCTCCTGTCTCACTTCCTCCCTCCTCTTTCACTCTCTCTCTCACTTTCTTACTCACTCACTCCCTTTTCTTCCCTCCCCTTTTCTGTCTCTTGTGTACTCTCTATCTTTCTCTCTCCCTCTGTTCTCTTTCCTTCTCTCTTCTTCGTCTTTGTCTGTCCCTCTCTCGCTTTATCATTCACTCACTCATTCCCTCCTTCTCTCTTTCTCTCTCTCTCTCTCTCTCTCTCTCCTCTCTCTCTCTCTCTCTCTCTCTGTAGGTAATCCTTGACCTGAAGGGCTCCGACTACAGCTATGCGTATCAAACTCCACCTGCGTCTCCAAGCAACACGCTGTCCCGCAAGAGCAGCATCAGTAGGTCTGTATTGATAACCGATGTGTCTATACTGATATACTAAGATATTGATTATTAGTTTTGCCAGTGTTGATAGATAACAAGTGTTATGACGGTAGTTCACTGGCTATGTATGTATATATATATATATATATATATATATATATATATATATGTATGTGTATATGTATATATAGATATATATGTGTGTGTGTGTGTGTGTGTGTGTGTGTGTGTGTGTGTGTGTGTGTATGAATATATATACACACAAATCTTATTTAAAAGGATGTGCACTTTCATATCTACATATATATTTATATATATATATATATATATTGTGTTTATATCTGTGCGTTTTCTATCTTAAATATATTGAGTGTTATTAAAGCTTTAATCTCCTGTTTCATGTATTAAACTGTGCTGGTCTGGTTGCTCCGTCTGACTGACGGGTTGCGCCGCCTGAATTTTCAGACTAATTTCATATTAAACAGGCATCTACTTAGACACCCGTAGAAACCTTTGACCTTCAACTTGAGTTTATACTTACAATTTTTTTCATATAAATAAATATTATTACAATAATTCCACATTTTCATGGTTCTCCTCAAGACCACCTGACATGGTAAACAGAGCCCTTCTAACCACGACTCTACCATCTCACTTTAACTAAGTTTGTGACCTAGGCATTGAACCATGAAGGTCACTTGGGGTGTTCTTTATGATGCCATACGCTGGCCCCTCTTTGATCAAATCATGTCAAAATAAGTCCTTTGTTGTTGGTTGTGCCGCTTGACATTTGAGGAAGTAAGAACTTGTTCCAAAGAGTTGAGCACTTTTGAAGATTCTTTATTCTTTGACATGATTTTTATTTTAGGATTTTATCACATTTGCAAACATAAAATTGTGCCAGATTGTTTCATTTAGATTTTTGTGTAACTGAATTATTTTTATTTTATTAACCAACATATATGGTTGGACAGCTGACATTTTTAGACTTTTGGTGGCAAAAAGATTTTCACACACACTGTTTGCCCAGATAAATGGTTTAAATAATGTGTTTCAGTGCCTAAGACCTGTGCACAGTACCGCATGTCATTTGGGGTCTTCAGATTGTTCCAAATACGCAAGTTACCTCTCTGGAAATGTTGCTTCTCTCTCGTTAACATATACGACACTCTTTAAGGCCCGAAACATACTTCACACGAGGACAAACACGCTGACAAGACCTCTTGGTCAGGCTTAGCTGTCATTATAGCGCCCCCTGCTGCTATGAAATGTGTTGTGGCACATTTTTCAATGCAGCTACGTGCAAAACCCTGTCTGGGTAGCTCGAAGTCTCTGTGTTTGCATCCTTGCGTGATCGTGTTTCAGGCCTAAGGTTCCCAAGACTTTCTTTATTCACTTTATTAATGCTAAATTAAATATTTTTGTTACTGTGGTATATTATTAAAAATACTGATGTCGAGTTTTATGTGCAGAGGCTTTGGAAGTGGGTTTGCTTTGGAGATGATCACAGGAAGAGAAACAGTTAAATGTGTTTGATCTGTTGTTGTGTTGTCTTGAATGACTTCATCTCTCTCCTCGTTTCGTCTCTGTGCAGTAACTACGCCTCCGTGCGCCACGTCCCCTCTCTGGACTCCATCTCCAGCGCTGTGGACGGTCTCCATTTACGCGGACAAGAAACAGGACAGGTAACGCAGACCCTCAGCACACCTTCGTGCTCGCCTCGTCACTCGCCTCGATCTGCTCAGCTCATCGTCTCTCAGATCAGAGTCACTTCACTCTCAGTCTGAGCTCTGAGAGAGAACAGCTTCAGATTCACCTAACGCCGTGCTTTTCTTCATTCTCTCTCTCCTTTCTTTCTTTCCTTTGCTTCTTTTTCTTTCATGCTCTTCCTTTTGCTTCCTGTGCTCCTTCATTGCCTCTCTCTCATGCTTTCTTCTTTTTCTTTGCTGCATTCTTTCTGTTTCTCTCATATTCTTTGTCTCTTTTTCTTCTTTATGCTTTATTGTTTATTGTTCTTTCTTTTCACTCATCTTTCTTTTCTTCTCATGTCTTATCTCTTTCTCTCATACCCCTTTACTTCTTTTTCTTCTTCTTTTCTCTTCTTTTTTTTTATTTTTGTTTTTTACTTTATTCCTTTGTTTGTCTCGTGCTTGTTTGCTTCCTTGTTTTCTCTCTCTCTCTCGCTCTCAGCGCTCTCCCACTCCTCTCCTCCTGGTTGGGGGAGAGGGAGGTTCTCGCTCTCTCAGCGAGGGGAACTCTCCCACAGCCCCCCGTTCAGGCCACCGCGGCGCTCGCCTTCGCCACAGGACCGCTGTGAGCACTCGGTGTACACTCTGTGGAGTGGGTGACTGTCACAGTGTGATGTTGTGTGTAGCTGTGTTTCCATCCGCTTTCTGCACAAAACTGCAATGAAATAAAAAGGACCCTCTGGGGTCGGAGGGCGTTTTCTTGATTTTTGTATGTATTCCTAAATTTGCCTTTAAATGCATTTGCATAAAAAATTATACCCGAATATTATATATAAAAATCTCAGCTCTCTCTATAATGAGGCCTTTTCGAGCTGGAGCTCTGTGTACAGAATTCGGCCCTAAAGCTCAAAAATTGAAGTCCAGTTTGAGAAATTCTTAATCTCTCTTGTGAAAACACAGCTTTACTCATGTGGACGAATTGTTTTGGTGCTTGAAATGGGTTTAATAAAGTCTCAGGTTTACAAAAGTAGTGGAATTTATAAATAAAACAGTAGATAAATGTTCACCTCATCACTACTTTCCAAAACCGCTGCAGCAGCTTCAGCAGCTGTAAACTCTCTGCACGCCATTTTACATGAGTCTCCGATGTGGACTGAATGAAGAATGAAGGGTTTCCGGCGTGATGGTCAGTCCTTAGTGATTTCCTGAGTGTCCATTGGTCAGTTTCACACAGAATGTAGACGGACACACCAATCCACCAGTTCCACACGGTGAGAGGCAGTTGACGTGTATCTCAGCCCCTCTTCATAGGCTCATAACTCCGGATGTGAGTCTCGTATGATCTCAAGATAAGATGGAATGGAAAGGGCGACTCTACAGATTCAGGAAGTGTTTGAACTGGATTTCTGAGCTGGATCATCACAAAGATATTAATAGAAATCTAATTTGACCTGCTGGTGTGTTCTTCCACCCCAGAGGGTTTAAAATGCTGCACATAATGACTCATTTCCTAGAATCATTTCCTGCGCTTCATTTCCCCATAATCCACTTATGAAGTCAGTATTTTTTTATTTTATGAAGTTATTGTATTTTGTCCTTATCTGAATCTCTCTCATACAAACAGTTTACAGTCTGCTCATCTCTGTTTGTAAGAGCTGAGAAGTGTCAGCGTTCCTTTAAAAAGCGCTCTAGTCTCCTCCTCAGTGCAGCTCCACCTCTCTGCCGCGCTGCCACATGACACTAAATATGTGTGCTGGTTTTTTGTTTGAAAGAGTTGAACAGAAGAACATTAATTTTAAAAAAAATTATCAACAATTTCCTGTTCCACCATCTACAACAAACTTTTTGAATCATTGGATGGAAACGTAGCTGCTGCTGTGTTTGTACCAGTTGTGTGATGTCTGTGTGTGTGTTGTATACAGTTTTATATGAAGGTTCAAAGTTAATGTTGACTTGATTGCATTCAGCATTCACAAGAGCAGTAGTGAGGTCAGGTACTGATGTTGGATGGTCAGTTCTGGATCAAGAATCATCCCAATGGAGCTCCATCACTCCAGAGAACACAGTTCCACTGCTCCACAGCCCAATGCTGGGGGACTTTATACCCCTCTAGCCCAGACCTTAGGACCATGCTCCAGAGTGTCCCATTCTATTGGTCAGTGCTGTTCTATGGAGTCAGCAGTGGGTGACCTTTAAGTAGCTCGGTTCACTCAGAAGAACTATTTGGATGCTTTTGGACATACAGTGCATGTACTGTGTGTGTTTGTTTGGCTTGTTCTTGAGTTCGTAAGTGTGTTGTCATTCTCTAGAGAACCTCTACGCCACTGTAGATACCTCACTTGTTTTTGTTTGCCTTTTAAAGCCCTTGTAAATGGATTTATCTGAAGGTCATCCTTTCAGGCCTTTTGTCCACTCACAATACCTGATCACAGATTTCAGACAGATTGACTGCAGAGTGGTGCTGAGCCATTTTAGCCACTGAACACCTTTATAGCAGTCAGACAGACTGAGCTGTCCAGACACAAACCAGGAAAAATTTGAGCCAAATCCAGTTCTGATCCTTTCTCCTTTTTTTTGTGCTCTATTTATGCCGCTGTCATAGAGGTGCCACGGACGCTATCCACAACCTGGAGCGGTGAGGAGCGTTTTCAGATTTTGTCAAAGTGGTTTAAATGTCTGCAGTGGAAAATGGAAACTTGAATATCTGAGTTCGAACTAGTGGTGTTTTGTGTGAACATGTGAACGTCAAATGTGAGAGTCAGGGTTGTTATAGTTTTGAAAGTTTTTATTTTGATGTAGTTTTTCATATATATGTAGTTTTTCATATGATGTAGCTATAGAAAATAGAAAAATCTGTTTTCTGCCACTTGCTGTGAGCGACATGCCACTTCTAAAATGTAGAAACTCCTGTGATGTTCTTCACTAGAAACACTACTCGTTAATAGCAAAAGAGAGCCTCTACTGTGCAACATTAATCCATAGTGTGTTCACAACAGTGTACATGCTCTTTTAATTTAAAGCTGCACTATATAAGTTTTGGGGATTTGGAGACCTCTCTGGTGGAAACATGTAACTGCACACAGCGTTAGTTCTGCTTTGGCCCCTGGCCCCCTTCCCCCGAATTGTCTATTATTGTCATCATATCTTCATCAGTATGATGTTGATTTTGAGTTTATTTGAGACCGAAACATCGAGCTGGACCTTCTTTTTGAGTCTGTGTGTGACGTTAATACGTAAAGACGTACGACGTGGTGTGAAAACTCCTGACCCAGGGTGACTCAAAGCAGCGCACTTTCACCATATTTTAGCCTGTTTTTATTGTCCTCACTCAGTAACGACACTTCTTTCAGTTTTAACTAACAAATCGTGCATAGTGCAGCTTTAAAATTCAGCCAAAAAATAATCCAGAATGTCACGTTATGCACAAACTAAAAATAATTTGGTGACGTGTAGATTATGTAGCTATAATATCTATGAAATCACACAGATCAGATCAGATATTTATTTATTCATGCACCAGCTCAGACTGATGCAGTTTCTTTGTTTATACTATTTTTTGTGGGATGTGGTTGATTGCAGTGAACATTGTGGTGGCCTGCTGTGTTGCATGGCTTCATTCTGAATTGTGTGTCTGTGATCAGCTGCTCAAATGGACAGATTTTGGCAGTGTACAGTATAAGAAGTGCTGCAAACTAATTAATATGTATGTATTGTGTTGTATAGGAGCAGAGTGGTGTTAACAGCCAGTCCTGGTCAAGTCAGAACGCTCCCGGCACAGAGAACGGAACCTCTATGCCTCCTCCTCACCAGACCTACGGCGGGCACGGAGAACGAGCCAGAGCGCAGTCCACGTCGGGAAAGGTACACACAGACGCACAGAGTTTAGGACTGCTGGTGAAAATGTGGTGTTCAATTATTTTATCAATACATTGATTAACTGCAGTTTCAATGGTTCCTTAAAACGAGGGGTCTTCAGTGACGCCAGCTGCTAAACAGATAACACAGTGCTTTCCATTTACGGAACATCCTCCGTCGTGAAACAGGAACGAGGCTTAATCTCTTAAAGGGCCGGGAGCCATGGGCGGGTCCAGAGTTTTACTACACACTTCGATGATCTAAGAATAACTCTTAGAATGTACTAAGCCTGGGATTTTAAAGGCTAATGCTGGTCTAATAACAGTAACGGACCTCAACAGACCACAATTTTAGCCCTGATTTGTCTAAATTTTCAAATTTAAAGTGAATTTCCAGGTCAGGAATCAGACGTGTGCGAATGATCTGGTAAAATGGCTGGTAAGGAGTGACTCTTAAGCCCTCAGATTTGCAGTGATAGGAGGCCTCAGTGTTTCTAGATTTTGGATTTTATGACTGAAAACTTTAGCAAGTCCTGTAACTGAATAAGGGGTTCGGGAAATGTGAGCAAAGGAGAGCAGAAGAAATTTGCAAGTACGTGTATATTTTGCAGTGGAGGAGTTATTTTCTTGCTCTAATTCTGATTGTCATCTCCGCAGCCGCAGTCAGCCCGAGAGCAGCTGGCTCTGACGTTGAGCGGAGGTCTGAACTCTGAGGCGCCCCGGACCAGTCGAGACTCGCTGCACTGCTCCAGTGGATACAGCACTCAGACGACCACGCCGTCCTGCTCTGAAGATACTATACCCTCCCAGCACGGTGAGCACAGACTCCTCTTCAACTCCACACACCCTCAGAGCCTGTGCGTTAATATTTCATTCCACTGTGAAGCCAAAATCTGTAATATACGCTCACTTAGCACTTCATCAAGTCCACCTCCTTGTTTCTACACTAATTGTCCATTTTATCAGCTCCACTGACCGTATAGCTTCACTATGTAGTTCTACAGTTACAGACTGTAGTCCATCTGTTTCTCTGCATACTTTGCTACCCTGTTCTTTAGTGGTCAGGACCCTCACAGAGCAGGTATTATGTGGGTGCTGGATCTTTCTCAGCACTGCAGTGACACTGATGTGGTGGTGGTGTGTTGTGCTGGTACGAGTGGATCAGACACAGCAGTGCTGCTGGAGTTTTTAAACACTTCAGTGTCGCTGCTGGACTAAGAACCAAAAACATCCAGCCAGCAGCGTCGTGTGGACAGCGTCCTGTGACCACTGATGAAGGACTAGAGGATGACCAGCACAAACTAGGAGTGTCTAATAGAGTGGACAGTGAGTGGACACAGCATTTACAAACTCCAGCAGCACTGCTGTGTCTGATCCACTCATACCAGCACAACACACCGCCACCACGTCAGTGTTACTGCAGTGCTGAGAATGATCCACCACCCAAATAGTACTTGCTCTGTGAGGGTCCATGGGGGTCCTGACCACTGAAGAACAGGGTAAAAGGGGGCTAACAAAGTATCAGAGAAACAGATGGACTACAGTCTGTAACTGTAGAACTACAAAGTGCTCCTGTATGGTCAGTGGAGCTGATGAAATGGACACAGAGTAGATACAAGGTAGGTATGCCTAATAAAGTGAGTGTAGTCATGATGCAGTTTACAGTGTTGCTAATCACTGCAATTCAAAAACGCACAGTACTGGTGGGTTCTTCAGGTGTGTACACAGGGCTGGGCGTTATGAAGTCTGTAAGTCAGTGTGCCGATTGCTAGTTTTTAGCCTCTAGTTCTGTTTTATGTGCTTTATTGATGATATCCAGGACCTGCAGTGAGGGTGATTTACTAGGAGCTTCAGATCATTTTGAAACAACAGTTTAAAATCCATTTCAGTGAATGTTTTCTGTCTGTTAACATTTACAGTACTGTGTAAAACTCATTAACTTAACAATGCAACCTTAATATCATTATTTATTTAAAAAATATTGTGCTTTTGTGTTTTATCAGTAGTGTCCAGCCCTTTGTGTACATATTTACATTTTTATTATCTTGCCCTTTAATCAAACAATGACATCACTCACTATAGACAGCAGTCTGATGTGCGGTTTGTGTGCATGAGCAGAGAAAGTTTGGCACCAACTCGTGCGTTTTCACGCCAGATTGCTGTGTGTGTGCCTGTGTGGAGCCTTTATGTACGAGTTAAACCCACTTTATTGTTCTCTTTCAGCGGTAAAGAAAGAACCTCCTCTATATGGTAGGTTTCTGATCAGTACTGTACAGACTGATTTTGATTTTTTATCTCATTTTGTTCATTGAGAACCTCCAAACCTTTCAAGAACAAGATGCTTCTGTTCAGAGAAGCAGTCCATCCTGTTTTACCACAACATTGTGTGCATGTGTGTTCACCTTATTCACGTCCAGTTTTCAGACTCAGTCACTATAAGACAATTCTGTCAGATGGAAGTTCTTGGAAGTGAATTAAACCATTTTCATGAAGTTCACTTGTCATTTGTGGACACACTTTCTTGCATGAAGCCCCATCTGCTGCGCCCATGATCTTCATATGAAGATACAAACCACTGAACGACAGTGCTAATAACAATAATAGGGATGTCCCGATCCAGTTTTACAGGTTATACAGCTGTGTGATTTAGGTAAGCTGTGCCAGGCTTCAGTAAAATAGCTTTATTTTTAAATGTGCATAATGTGACACTTTGTTTTTATTTAATGGCTGCTTTAAAGTATGTTTAATATCCTATTTTATACTTTATTGATTCACTCGAGCCATTTTGCTGCCTAATTATGCTGGGAGCAGCACAGCAGTCACCAGCAGAGCAGTGCCACTTTGGGTCTGCCTGAGTTTGGGCTGGTCGGCTTTCGTCTGCAGATTTTTGAGTCAGTCCGAGTCGACGGTTGGAGAGAGAGTCGAGTCGTGTGTGGTGGTGCAGACTCAGATTTATGGCCTCCTGATTGCGTTTCAGACCAGTAGAGTTTATCGAACATGATTGATTTTTTTCGACTCGACTCTGAACGTAATCTAGTGTAAACTGGTCATCAACTCAATCTAAACTTGACTCCTCCAGCAGCCAATGAAAACTGAGAGCGCGAAAGAAGAAAATACAGCAAATAAACTACAGCAAATAAAATGGCGAAAAAAGTCTCACGTGGAGCGAAGCATTTTAATGAGCTGAGTTGAAGACACAATCGAGTTTATGTACATTTAAACTCTAAAAAATACCAAACTGACCACATATTTAAATCCATGATCCTCACTTAAACATGTTTACCTGCTGCTTCTTTGGAGTGGATCCCCAATATTTTGGTCGCCCAAAAAAATCAAAAACCAGTGTGATAGTTTTAGACAACCAGTCTGTTATTATTATTTTAAGACTTTGAAAGTCATGTAGTGACCATAGGGCTATCACCAAATATGACAGACCTGATGATTTGGTTGCCAGTTACTGTAAAAGGGACCTGTCATGCTTTTCCTTATCCATTTTTCACTTTGCTTTAGTATCTTATGTAGCTTTTTGTTTGAGTAAATGTTCTCCAAAGTCTCAAAGCTCAGCGTTTCCTCCAGAGGGAGAAACTCTCTCCCACAGAACCCAGTTTTCTCAGCTGCCTGAAACTCCTCGTTGGAATTCCAGCTCTTTTCCTTTGTTACAAGATGACATCATCTCGTAACACAGTCCTTACTGCCTGCCTGTAGGTTCGGAACTTGTAGCGGGATGCCACTCTGGCGGTTGACCAATCAGAGCACGTTGGGCTCATTGGGAGGCGGGGCTTAATGACGCAGGAGCTCTAACAGAGCGTTTCAGAAAGAGAATGAATAGAGATGCACAGTGTGAGAAAAATGTGTTTTAACATTGAAGCTGTAAATGAAAATGAGCATAATAGGTCCCCCTTTAATATACAGTCAGCAACAGCAGCAGTGAAAGCAGCATCAGGAGCCGCAATAATGTGAACTTCAGAATGCTGCAGTGAAGTCACTTCATATTCGATATGTGGATAGTGGTAAACAGAACCTTAAAGTTTTAGTAGACTATTAATACAAAGTCATTTTACAGTGTTAGGAATAAACAAATCACAAAGATGTGAATGTGTACAACGTAGCTGCTCCTTTTTCTTGGTCTGGAACGTGAGATTTCTGCTAAAATCAGTGGCAGGGCTGGAAAAGCAGAATATAGGGCTGGACAATATGACAGTATATATCTTTACTGTGATACACTGTCACTATACAATACAATATGCTTTTCTGATCATATTGTGTTTATCGTCAGTGCTGAATGTTTCATTATAAAGAGAGCCAAATTAGTCCTGTTTAACTGGATTTAGTGTCAAATATTGAATAAAAACCACTGTGTTCAGTTTTTGATAGTATTTTTTTAAATGTAGGTTCTTTTTACTCCGTTCCAGCTGATCAGATGTCTGAAAAAGTAAATATTGTGACATATGGTGCGTTATACCATATCACTCACCTCTAGCAGAACATTTCTGCGATAGTGTCGTTTTTTAGTGAAAGACTTGGCGAGAGTGTTTCTACCGCTATGTTGCACATAGAGACATAAGTGACAGGAAAGAGCGCAGCACACTAACATTTTACATACCAGTGTTTAGATGAGAGCTGGCTGGCTCAAACGTAGACGTAGAGGTTACAAGCTGTAAATTTCCACTTTAAAAAATTCCTCACTGCAGACATTCAGAGCTCTTTAGGTTCTAAAAATGCTCCTTATGGCTGCAGGTCATGGATACTACTTGTTCATGATGCTTTTTGGTATTAGAGTAAATATAGAGCAGAAAATGAGGATCAGATCCAGGAGCACTTGAGAACTATGTCAGAGAGTTGTGCATTTTCCTGGAAACCACAAAATAGGTCGGAGTCTAAAATGGGACGCTGATACTGACTGACCACAGCAGAGCTAATGAAAAAAATGTTGGATTAGAAATCTGAGATTAAAGCAGTTTGCATATATACTCAATAGGTTAGTTGTTATGCAGACCATACTTTGTTTTGTATAAAGGAACATCTGAAAATGCCCCTGTAAGTTAAACTCACCCCCCAAGCCCCACCCCCAAGTTCTTTTACTACTGAATATATCCAATACCCGATCCAATAAAATATTCCTGTATCAGCTCTGATTCCGATGCACTGGTTTGGATCAGGACATCACTAATAATAATAATTATAATAATAAAAATGTCCCTCCTTATGTATTTTACCTTTCTTTTCCCCTTAATTAATGTCTCTCTCTCTCTCTCTCTCTTTTTCCCCCCTGTCTTGTTCTTCTCCAGACTACGACTATATCTCTCTCCACGGAGGAGATGATGCTCACAGTCAGTCTGACTTTGACAAATCCTCCACCATTCCCCGCAACAGCGACCTGAGCCAGAACTACCGAAAACTCTTCCAGAGCAAGAGACCGGCGTCCACAGTCAGCCTGCTGGTGGACCCTGAGCCCCTCCTGCGGCAGCCCCAAACGGCCACCATCCGTCGCAAACCGTCCAGCAAACCCCACATCCGCCGGGGGACCATCAGTGGCGGAGTGCCCATCCCCATCTGTACACCACAGGTAGTGCTTCATACAGGAGTGTCTGAACGTTTGTAGACTCCAGCGTTTCTTCTGGGAAGGTTTTACACCACAGCGTTACACCTACAGACGACTCGCTTGCTGCCCAACTTGCATGAGATACAGACATTAGGATCAGGACTGACAGGCTACCGTTTGCATGTTTTTATGTGGTGTTTGCTCAGTTTTGGGTCATTTTCTAATTGATTTGGATCATCTATTTTCAAATTTATCGATAGCACTGAATTCAGATCCCACATATACAGCGTGGATCCGATCCGTGCGTGGCAGAGGCAAGCTGGTTTGTGCCGAAGGAGCAGCATACACCGATCAGCCTTAACATTCTGACCACCTCCTTGTTTCTACGCTCACTGTCCATTTTATCAGCTCCACTTACTATATAGGTGCACTTTGTAGTTCTACAGTTACAGACTGTAGTCCATCTGTTTCTCTGATACTTTGTTAGCCCCCTTTTACCCTGTTCTTCAGTGGTCAGGACCCCCATGGACCCTCACAGAGCAGGTACTATTTGGGTGGTGGATCATTCTCAGCACTGCAGTAACACTGACGTGGTGGTGGTGTGTTAGTGTGTGTTGCGCTGGTGCAAGTTGATCAGACACAGCAGTGCTGCTGGAGTTTTTAAACACTGTGTCCACTCACTGTCCACTCTATTATTATTCTCAGTCCAGCAGTGACACTGAGGTGTTTAAAAACTCCAGCAGCACTGCTGTTTCTGATCCACTCAGACCAGCGCAACACACACTAACACACCACCACCACGTCAGTGTTACTGCAGTGCTGAGAATGATCCACCACCCAAACAGCACCTGCTCTGTGAGGGTCCATGGGGGTCCTGACCACTGAAGAACAGGGTAAAAGGGGGCTAACAAAGTATCAGAGAAACAGATGGACTACAGTCTGTAACTGTAGAACTACAAAGTGCACCTATATAGTAAGTGGAGCTGATAAAATGGACAATGAGCGTAGAAACAAGGAGGTGGTCAGAATGTTAAGGCTGATCGGTGTAGTTTTGAACATCTAGTCTCAGTAGACTTTCTATTTCTATTTAAAAACAATCCAAGAAAGCACTTCTGAAAAGACAAAAATAAAAGGGAGACTAATGCAGTTTAATTGACTTGTAAAACCAGCAAGAGCTCCCCCTGCTGGATGTTTGCAGACATAAGCAGTCAGCTTCCTATAGCGTTCTTCGCAAGACCTTATAATCAAACACAGATCTGTTTGGGCTTTTTTTTATAGACCTGACAGCCCAAACAGTATTTACTGCACAAATAAATCTTGTACAGCATAAACAATTTAGTTTTTAAGGATCTATTAACACTGTTCTTTTACAGTTCTGCAGAAATATATGCAAATTTTACTTTGGCTCAGTACAAACTGTAAAGCCGGTCAGTCACGCATAAACTCTTTGTATGTGAATGACTATAAATTGACTCCTACAATCGCAGTTTCCCTTCAGAAGCTTTGAATGGGAATTCTAAAGTATGTAGACTAACGTGTGGTAGGATTAAATCCTGATATTCTGTTTATTTTTCAAATTGAGGCTCTTAAGTCGTTTAGTAGTTTAAGTTCCAAATATTGTACCTATTATGGATGAGCATAGTGAAGATCGATATTCACTCATATACACTACAGTGCATATCCTGCATTATTGTTTTCCTCAGCTGACATTTTTACGTCGTTTTTACAGTGTCCTCTTTCAGTACACGTTCATTGTTTTTTTTCACACAATATTTTATTTTGCATTGTCTGGTGTCTGCTCTTTCAGATCAAATGATTTTCTTTATTTATTTGAACACTTACGCTAAGCAGAAGATAGCGGCAGTAAAATCAGTGTATTTTGCCTCATATTTACCTTTTTATCTTTCAAGTGTTGGAGTACATTACTGAGTTAAAACACTATCTATAGTGCCAGTTTTTGTTCTTTGTTTTTTATGTAAATTATATATATTTAAAAAATGTTTGAAGGATCTCAGTGCTAACAGACATTGCCACCTCAATCCACAGGTGCCCCTGAAGCCGTCTACGTCCACCGTAGGCTTGGCTTCGGTCCGCAGCGGCAGCGAGGAGGCAGTGTGTCCGCTAGCGCCGGCCCAAACTCCCCGAGCACACGGGTCAGACTTGGTCCACGCCAAACATGCTCTCTGCACGTCCACCCAGAGTCTGAGCGCCATGCCGCCTCCTTACTACGCCATGTTCCCCGGGCCACCACCGGTGGGCAGCACAGAGCAGCTGTATCAAATGAGCAAGCAGCAGCAGTACGCGCTGCATCAGCAACAGCAAAGGCAGTATCAGCAACAGTTTCAGCAGCAGCAGCAACAACAGTACAGCCAACAGCAGCAACAACAATACAACCAACAACAACAGTACAACCAACAGCAGCAACAGCAACAGTACAACCAACAGCAGCAACAACAATACAACCAACAACAGCAACATCAAAAACCGTACAATCAACAGCAACAACATCAGTACAATCAACAGCAGCAGCAGCAGGAACCACAACAATGTCAGCAGCAGCACAGTCAAGCACAACAGCCGCCACAATATCAGCAACAGTACAACCAAACACTGCAACAGCAACAACACTATCAACAACAACAACAGTATCAACAGCAGGCGCAGCACAAACAACCTTCCAAACAGCAACAACTTCAGCAAGACCAAGTTAATCAGCAGCACGAACATCTTCACCAGCCGCCTCAGCAGAACGCCGTAGCACACAACTGCACCGGCGGGCCAGCGGAGGGCGCCGTGGATCAACCGGACGGTGCCATCGAACCAAGCCAAACGTCCGGCGGCGGAGGAGACATGCTGAGCATGATCCGCAGAGGAGTGAAGCTTCGCCGGACGCTCACCAACGACCGCTCGGCTCCTCTCATCACCACCAACTATCTCAACTGAGCGAGTTCCCTTCCCGTTCCTCCTCGCTTCTGTTTTAGGTTCTTTTTTACATTCTGTTTCGTTCCGTGAGCCGCCTTAGAGGGTTCGGCTGTACGTTTTTAGGGTGACCGAATTTTCCGTCGCATCGTAACTGACTCGGAAGACATAATTCAGCAACACTGTGCTAAAACGACGTAATTACAACTTGGTGGCAGCGTCTCCAGCAGCAGCGTGTCCATATGAATGTCAGCTCTTGATAAATTAAAGATGTTAATTCTGCAGTGCTTATGTGTATATATCTATATATGTGTAGAAATATAGACAAAGCGAGGATTGGAGCTTAAGGTATATTAAAGTTATTTGTTTATATTGTCACTGAACGAGCAAGGCTTTTCTTTCTTATTGTACTCTTACAGTCAGATATTAAATGACAGAGTATGTATATATTAGCGAAACATTGGAAAGACTTTACTGTACTGTTTTTATTTTGGTTTGTTTTTAGTTTTACTAGATTAAGTGGCTCTTGAGCATCTATTTTTGTATAGTTTTAACTGCAGGGTAACAGAATATGGATCCACTGCCTTTATCTGCCCAAAGACCGGACTTCAGTGACGTGAACAAAAAGTGGGGGAGGCCGAGAGGGAGGAGTGCAGATGGATTGATGAATGAAGGACTTGAAAAGTGGACTGTTCTTCTTTTGCTTGTAACTGAGAGTACGAAGCATCACTGTGGCTATTTATTCGACCTGTTTGATTCTGAATCTTGTGAGTCATTAGACTCCTGATCAATTCTGAGTCGTATGAATCATTTGACCTGTTCAATTCAGAATCGTATGACTCATTCGACTGTTGTTCAGTTCTGGATCATAGGAGTCATTTTCCCTGTTCGGTTGTGAATCATACAAATCATTTTACTCCTGCTTGATTCTGAATTGTATAAATCATTTGACCTGTTCAATTCAGAATTGTATGACTCATTTGACTGTTGTTCAAGTCTGGATCATAGGAGTCATTTTACCTATTCAGTTCTGAGTCATACAAATCACTTGATTCCTGTTAGATTCTGAATCTGAAGTGAATCATTTGACTCCAGTTCTGAATTGCACAAATAATTAGACTCCTCTTCGATTCTCAGTCACGTGAATCATTTGACTCCTGTTCACCAAAGTTTTGAAGCTGAATGCCCAACCCCCCAACCCCTAACCCGCTCACCGTGAGGACCTCACAGATGGACGGACGATGTGGCAGCAGACTGTTCATGGAAATTTTAATTGCTACACTCTTTAATTAGGTTAATTTTTGTTTTTTTCTGTTTTCAAAGACTTCTGATGGATGTTTTTTGGTATTTTTTTTTTCTGGAACCGTTTTATTTAAATCATTCTTGAAGTTATTTCGGTCTGTAATTGTTTTTTCCAAAATAGTTCTTTTTACCTATTTTTTAAACGAGGCATTCAGGTTAATGCTTTGAAATGTTCTGATTATGAAAGGCGCAATGCCAAGGACGCTATTACAGAGAGTTAGTGACGCTAGTCTTACTTAAACATTTACACTGGCCTCTTATTACGACAGAGATGTTTCGTCTTTAGAGCAGTAAACATGTCTATACAGAGTATTAGCAGGAACAGTAATAATTATAATAATGATGACAATCTTTGCATTATTATTATAATTATTATTATTATATTTTGTTTTTGCATTTTTTTTGTGTTTTGTTTTTTTTAGGGCAGTGCGACTTTTGCTCAGTTGAAAAATCACATCTTTTCTTCCTTGCGAGATTCACACCCACTGGATCTATCAAACGGCAGAATAACAGAGAGCGAGACGGAGGGTTGCAATTAAATCACACACCCATTTTCCGCTGTGAACGCTCAGCTGCTCCCAGGAGGCCTTTGAAGCTTTTACAGCGGAAAATAAGCAGCTCTGAGCTTTCTAATCAGAAGTTTGCATTCTTGTCGTTTCCCCGAAGATGTATATTTTTGAAATGCTGTATTACATAGAAGCTTCTTTTTTCCCCACTTTTGATTAATGATGTATGTATTTTTCCTGTTGTCCTTGGCATTCGAGACAGTTTGGTTAAGGTTTGGCCTTTATTGCTAAGAAAAATGTTTTATGTTGTTTCAGCCCAAGTTGTTATCTTTCGCTTTTTTCTTCTTTAACAGCTTTTTCATCTGCATTTTAGTGCATTTCTTTAGGAATTGGCTTGAGGTGAGGGGTCTTCTGGTTTTACTGGCTGCGCTCGTGGTAGTTGGAGTTCCTCTTGCTGAACACCAAGCTAATGCTGGTCATTAGTTTTTGGAGAAGCAGCGCCTCGCCAGTCCTCTTGCCTTAAATTTATCTTACAAACACCTTTAGTCAATGTTTGAGCTTCAAGAGGGGTGGGGCCTCATTTGAAGTCATAGACACACCATATTTTAAGAGCTTAGAGAGGAATTGTGCCAATTTTTTTAAACATTTCTGCTGAATTGAATTATCAAGATATAAACAGAGCGGTTCAGAGCGGTTTGGTGTGAAACGCTCTGTTCTAGATAAACTTACTGAGTCAGAACTGTTCACAGTGGTGGTGATAGGAACCAGACGTCCACCTCTAAAAGCTCCCTCACAGAAAGTTCCTACAGTAAATGGTTATGAATTCACTGCCTGATGACTGAGACACTTTTATGATAGTTTAGAGAACTTAAACTCCATTCATGGTGGAGGGATACATGCAGGGCTCTGTGAGGCAAAATAGTCCCCAAAGAAAACTTATTATTTCAGATTTTCCACTATTTTCCATCATCAACATTCCATATAAACTCAGAAGACTCGTGTAGGTTCACTGGTGGTTCTGGATAGTAAATAAAATGTCTATATTTGTGTTGTAGTCATGGCGACCCCTGGTTCCCATCACCACCACTGTAAAGACATCTGAACCGTTTCACACCAAACCACTCTGAATCTCTCTGATTACACCTCACACACTGAGTTACACAGAAAACTGTGAAAAATTGGTGGAATTCCCCTTTAAAGCAGTCAAATGCTAGTTGACTAACAGCCAAGGAAGCAGTAGAGGTTTAATAATGCAGCAAAAGAAGTCGATATGCTTTCCTTAAGCGCTATAAGGCCTTACAGTTTTTGACAGACGCTGTGTCCTTATTCTTGTGGCGGTTTAGAGATCCCTGACCACAAAAAACAAAGAAAATAGAGTCGGTTGGTTTATTGAAATGTTGAGGTTTTGAATGTAGAAGTGAAAAAACACTTATTACAGCTCTGAAAGTGATTCATAATCTCCAGGTTCTTCTGGAACGTTTGATCTCATCTGCATCCACGCGCTGGTGGGCTCTTGTTTTTTTTCTTTTCCTTTTTTTGGTTAGTGAAATGACTCATTACTTCAGAAGTCGGTGGAGAGAAACGAAGTAATTCAGACCTTTTCAAAGCCTCTTCCTGCTCCGCGCTTTCTTTTCTTCTGATTCATCTCGTACCTGAAACCACGCTCACGTGTCACTGTGTAGGTAGAATTACAGCCCCTCTTTGTCACCTTCACCCCTCATGAACAATGAGAACAAGCCCACCGGAGAGAGTTTGAAAAGCTTCTGCGCTCCCTTATTGTTCCACTGCTCGTACGTCATCCAGTCCAGGAGAAGCTGCTGTTAGTTTATCTGAGATGCTGGAGATAATTATTCATTTATAATTCGTTTATAATTAATAAACACCCCAGTTTATGCAGACAGATCACCTGTTTGCTTTGGGCTCGACCGATATGAAAACTCTTCAACACCGATATCGATTTTACTGAGCCTTAAGTTACGATCAACGATACTGTCGGCTGATTCAGTTTTCAATATTTGTTTTATGTTTTAATAATAGTTTTAGTTAAACTGTGTTTTACTGAAAGAGTCAGTTCAGTCGCTCCTTACATTTAAAAGTTTGGGTGTAAATTACATTTTTGTTGATTTTTAGTGGAAAATAAGTCAACACATCTACAGAGAACGCAGCTCTGCATAATTTAATGCACAAATCCTGTTTATTGGGGGGGGCAAAATGTGTTCTGTGCAAAGGTTATGGCACATTATTTGTTTTTTGCTCTTTTTCCATGTTAAACACAGTAAATAAACAGAAATTGTGGAGTAAAACTTGAAGTATTTTGTTTTTGAGTGTGTTCTCTGTAAAAGTTGTTCACTTGTTTTCACACAGAAAATCAACAGAACGTCATTTCAGACTTTTTCGTAAGACTAAACGGTTTAAACGCTCAGCCTCAAATATTACGGACTTTAAGCATCCGCGGTTGGAGGGAAGATCACAAAGATACCTGCGTTAGCGCTGTAGTCGTGGAAACAGTCACAAAGCGGCAGCTCTGACAGCAGCGGAGCGAGTCTGCTTTGAATGAAGTGTGTTTATACAACGTTTATATAATGCAAATAAAATTTGAATTCCACACACAATAGAAGCGTGAAATTATCCCACCCAAGCCTCTCGTTTCGGTGGGCTACGGCACAATCATCACGTTCTGTTCCGGTTGCCGTAGCCGACCCTGCTGTCGTCATTGTTTAAAGTCATTAAATTAAATGTTGAAGCACCGACAAATTTTATCGTTGTTTTGATGCTGAAGGTGAAATTTGGGGACATTTTGTACATTTTTGTTATTGTAAACCGAACAGCTGTCTTGGGTTTCGCTCTTATCAAGTTCCAATCCTGGTGACGTTGCGACTAAAAAAGTTGCTAATTATTGTCTCATTTCCTGCAACATTTTCTGATGCTGCTAAAACAAAATCATAGTCAAAATCGGTCAATATTATCAGTAACCAGTAAATCGGTCGGGCTCTAGTTCTGCTGCAGTGTACGATCTGAACTGGGTCCGTCGCCCTTAAGTGCAGATAAACGTAGTCCAAAACTCGAAGTGCTCCATGTGAAATTCCAGAAGCCTTGAAAATGTTTTCCTGAGATTTCTGATGCTCTTCCTCTTAAATCGTCCTTTATCTTTTCCTCCGATTGAGCTGAAAGATGAGATTGTTGGAGGCTGAGTAAGTTCCTCTGAGGGTGTGACCGGCAGAATGAATTGAATGGAATGGAAGGAATGTGAGATGAAAACTTTCTCCTGAAGGGAGTTCTCACTGTCGCTCACAGTTCAGGAATGTGCAGCAGTTCAGCACGGGGGTGAAAATGATCCGCTAACAAAACCACAATTCATTTCCATCCGTACAGTCATAACTGCCGCAGCTCTGGATGTAGCGCTGGGTGATTCTGATAAAACCGACTAAAATGTATTTGATGATATTTATGGAAAAAATGAGCAGCGTTTTCAAAAGTCGGCGCAAAGAAAATATTCAGAGGCTCCTTAACGGCCTCGTGATTCACTGAGTCAAGTGGCAAAATATCCGTACAGTAACACTTCAGCTTTGAAACACTGTTTATTTTCCCATGAACAGCTTAGACTGGACGTTAGGCTTCTGGATATTCAAGCTTCCATTTTTTGTGTATTTTATTTTATAATATTGCGCTGGACACAAAGTCTGCTTGTGCTGTTTATTTGGTCTTAATGAAATACCTGTATTACCCCTCCTGTTTTGCTGAGGGTCAAACACACCTGCTTCAAAGTTTTAAAATACTGGAAAATATTTTTCATCATTTTCAGAGCATTAAACAGTTTGTTCTGGGGCTCCTTAGCGGCCTCATTCTTCACTGAATGAAGTGATAAAATATACATAGAGCAAAACATCAGCTTTTTTATTTTTCCCTTAGAGATAAACGGCTCAGACCTGGACGTCCTCATTTGGGCATGACGCCGAATGCAAACCTGTCAGTTTGTTCTGATTGGACTGTTTTTGATCTGCCTCTCTTTGAAATCACACTAAAGCATTAATAAAGTTAATGAGCCCAGACTTTCTGAGTGCTGTGACTCGGTAGACCTTTATAGTCTTGTTGTCATTCATGCTCTTATTAGGAACTCCGAGTTTAAGTCGTTTATCTCTTTGGGGAAAAACT